GGGAGGGGAGGGGGTCCCGAATAACATATTAACATGGGACGGCACCTCGCCGATACGTGGGGCTGCTGGCCCCGAGTGTAAAACACCCACATGATATTTGCTCATTTACAGCCACCCATATATAGGTGAGTGAGATATATATGCGTGGCGGCAAAAACATCCGATCAATGTCTAGTCAGTGCGTCAGCTGGTGAGTATGTAAAGGGTTGTTGTCGAAAAAAAAATACGGAAAGATGTTTAATGTTCACAAATTCTCAAGAACTCTTATTCAAGCCCGATGTGGATCAGGCTAGTCTGTATCCCACGGTGTCCGCAGTCAGTGGTACCAGGGTTTTGTGCTCTCAAACGCTAGACATGTATAATAATATATATATATATATGTGTGTGTGTGTGTGTGTGTGCGTGCGTGCGTGCGTGCGTGCGTGCGTGCGTGCGTGCGTGCGTGAGTGCGTGCGTGTGTGTGTATACGTGACCTACATCATGCATGATCAGAGTAAATATTTACCCGCGCAGTAGACGATGTGAAAACCGCTTCGGGCTAGATCTAGAGAAACGCGTATTGCCTCGTATTTTTCCTTCGAACAATGCCGCCACTCGGCAGATGGGAGTATTGGGGTGGCTTTTGATCGCTAGAAACCCTTCTGTCAAGGGGTAATGCCGTTTTTGTGGTCGAAGCGAATTGCTGAATCTTGGCGCGGCCGCCCGGCCCCCTTATCGTGATCAATTCAGAGTTCGTATCGCTATTTTACCGTTTCGACGAAAGGTTCTGGAAAACGGGCTTTGTTCTGGAAAGTTGGAAAAATAACTATTGTGTTTTGTTGTACTGGAAAGAACCCGAAACTGAGCGCGTGTCTATTATGTCTGAGGAAAAGTTAAACTTGCTTCGTGCATGCAGTCGTTCACCAATCATTGAAAGGAGGATATGAGGTGTAAAAATGGCATTCGGCTTAAGTCTAGCGTCCTGGTATATGTACATTTCAATATTAGAAGACTCCTCGATAAAATGTTCCTCTTTCCGTGTATGAACCCTGTATCGTGTATTCTATGCTCTGCTTTACAATTTTTTCAACCCTTTGTAGCCGAGAATGGAAGCCGTTGTGTACTAATTATTCCTAATACCAAAAATTATAACGAAGCTAACTTCGCATGTGCAGTGGAAATGGAATGACTGGTTGTATAATGATGGAATTTAACGATTGATTGCTCGTAGCGTATATTGCAACGATTTCGTTACAACGACGTTCGCAAAACCTACGCGAAATATCTATTTCTGTTCTCAACGGGATCTCGTTTGCCATTACCACTATACTTTATACCCATGCAGTGGTGGGAAACTTATATCAGAACTAGTATCACTACTAAAAATATATCTCTGCTATCACAGTGGTATAGTTTCGAGTGTTACTAGTGTAGGTAGATATCGTTTCTGTTGATGGCTGGTAACTATGACGATCTCGAAGGTAATGCATTTTGCATGCGTGTGATTTGCAGACCTGTGCAAGTTTTCGTTAGCATTTATTATAGCGGTGTTACCAATACTTTCAGGGGTACATTTACTGTGATGTGTTTACGCCTGTTACCATAGTATTTCATGGGCTGTTGTTGGTGCTGTCGAATCAAACAAGCAGCTGAGTGACATTTCTGTTGCCATATATGCTATATACTGTCGAACCAGTGTTAGCGGGCACCTCTGTAGGAGGCCAACTGTCTACAAAGGACATTGGCTTTTCTCTTGTCTACGTCACCTCTATAAAACAGACGCTCGTCTATAAATGGCAATTTGGGGGGTGGGGGTTCTCTAGTAGCAGTTATATACGAGGTTGAATGTATATGTTATGATCATAACGATAGGACAATTTTAAAGATAGGTGACAACATTTAATCGAAACGCGATATATTCGTCTTGCAATCCTTTTGTTATATTCTGAATGTCTTTCACGTGTGCTGAGTCGACTCTTTAGATAGATGTGCCATATCGTTTACATACGCGTAAATGCTTCCGGTGGGTTTTATATCGTAACAAATGATGGCAGCATGTATCGTGAAATTGATCTATGTTAAATAATATATGTGTATAACAATATAATATATAGTATAGAAAGTCAGTAGTAGCGCGCTAACCTCACAGATATGTGACGCAATGACTACATGTTGTGCGCACTGAGAGTATCATATCAGCAGCAGAGTGTAGGGGTGTAATTATGCCGAGCGTGAACGTAAGTGGCGCTCTAATGTGATGAAGCAGAAGGGTTGATCGGGTTTGATTTCGTCGTATTCTGCGATACGAGTTTTTCGTTGATTGTCCTGAATCGTGTGAAGTTATAGAATGCTATCTGTGTGTGCGTGCGTGCGTGCGTGCGTGCGTGCGTGCGTGCGTGCGTGCGTGCGTGCGTGCGTGTGTTTACGCTGCAAAAGGGAACGTTGTTGACGTCTTAGTTCATCCGAGCTTCCAGGCGGTTATCTATGCATGATCATTACTATTGGATGTGCATTTATCTACTTATTAGTGTATACATAGATATATTGCTTAGTGTTTTCCTGCAATATGTGCAGTTTCGGAGTGGTGTGATGGCAGTTTAAGTTGATTTTGATGTACGCGTGGTCATGTGGATGATATAATTGCTTCTTTATGATATCGACATGGGGAAGTCGGTCGAGGGTAAGGTAATAAAAGGATTGTGTATTGTCTCAATCTCCATCTCATGATAGGGAACCTGATACTTCCGAATGATGCGCAAGCGGCGAATCTGCTGTTCTCAGAAACGAAATTACGCGTTCTTTGCCCATTGCTCGTCGGGTTTTGTTGTTATCCCCCCCGGAGTGGAGTTGTTGGGAGTGTATAGGTCAATGGGCCTTTACGTACGTACAGGCAGTGTAACCTGTGTTAGCATACATCTCTATATAACGGACACCTGTTTATAAAGCATGCATTTGGAGGGTTCCCCGAGTGACTCTCATGTGAAAGGTTAACTGTGCGTATTTACTTATCTCCGCCCCTTTTCATCGCCCTAGCGAGTTTATTTTCCAACAGATTTTTGTCAAACCGGATACAAGTGTCCGCATGACACTAGCTCGAACGAGTTCTCGTTTAAGGATGCTGTGCTCAAGATCATGGACAATGTTACTATTTTTAGATTCCGTGATCGCTGTGGCTAACGCTTATTTACAGGTTCGTGCTGCACATAAAAAATAGTGTGATTCACTGAACAATGAAAAACAGTGATCATTCGCCTTCGTTGAATTTTTTTTATCAAAATACCCACCAAAAATTATGCACGCAAAATGTCGCACGCAATATGCCGTGTTATGTAATATGTAAGTGTAGTGTAATGTAGTGATTATGTATCTATTCTATCCATGTTGTTGAGCTTGTACCAGCGTCAAAGATATGCATTCCATCATTCGTGTTGTGATTTTTAATGTACGGTTATGTATGGGCGAAGTAGCAGCTAATAAGGTCTTCGCCTTAGAGCTGCGTAGTAGTTTATGCCGTTAAAATGCATTTATCATATTGCGGTGTAATATAACATATGTTTCGATGCGTTTAGTAGGTGTACAAATTGCCGAATTGTACATAATGTTTTAAAGCGTACTATAAGTATGTGATTCTAATTAGGGGGTGTCTCTTTAACGCCGGTGTGAGTTTTTCGTAGATTGTGTTGTAAGAACGAATCTGAAGAGTTGCAGATTGTTCCGCGGGCGCATGCATTGTCGGGTCCCGTAGGGTTACTGCCTGCTATTTTCCAGTTGTTTCCTCATGTTGACAGTTGTGTGTAAATTTTATTTACCTGTGCTTACAGACTCTCATAGGTGTGTGACACACTAATCTGGTGACGATGTAATATTTATGAACCCGTTCTTTTATGAACCAGCATAAACTATGCGTTACTGCTGTAGTCTACGTTTTATCGGTATAATCAGGAGTGAATGAAACCTAATTTAGCTTTTATTGGCTAATATAAGGCATAGGTTCGAATTAAAATAGATTTTACCGTGTTTAAAATAACTCCGTTTTTTAACTAGATTTTTTAATCGTGCACGTTTTTGATCGTTTTATCGATGTACTGTGTGTCGAGATCCGCGTGCTAGCGCGTAGACTTCTACGCTTCCTCTACGAGTTAATGAGCATTACCTCTAACCGGACTAACAAATAAATTGGATAAATAAGATACTTAGAGATTTCGGCAACATATTTTATTTCCTATACACGCATAACAAAAACTGAAGGCAGACCATACACCGCTGACTTCAATAACAGTGATGCACATACCGCGTGTGCAGCTTCCTTCACTAACAGAGAACGCTCCCTCACCATCAAGAACAGCGCTGTCGCTGCATACCGAGCGTGAAAGCTTGGAACTACGATCGAACCTCAGCATTGCGTCTGTTCTGTTCTGAAGCACGCGCGGGTTTTCGCAGAAAATTGCCTATATAGTGCACAACGACAATCACCGATGCGCTCGCTTCACCTGACTCATCCGCCTGGCATGAGTGACATGCAGGCAGCTCCTGCCAATAACTGTTGTCGCGAGACGTTATAAAAGACAAATGACGTTTCTCAGACGACATTATTTTGGCGTGTACACGTGTACAACAAGTAGAAACTAGTCAAGCTGCACCGAACTCTCCAAGTGCAGCTCCTTCGCTCCCGCTACAGGCTTACCCTGTGGCGGGAGCGATAGAGCTACACTTGTAGAGCTAAGCTAAACGAACTAGCAACAATATTTAAGCGGGCATGGTCACCTTGCCCAGCCAAAAAGGTGAGCTCTGGTCATTCACGGCGCAACTTCGTACTGAACGACAGGCGATGCACATCTTAGCGACAGCGTCAGATGACGTCACCGTTGAAATCAACACCAAGTTAGCACTCACAACTATAGAATCGAGTGGCAACGAGTGCTGCAGTCCCAAGCAGGCACTGCAGGTGGCGTTGCAGTAGCGAGCTGGCAGGGCAGAGACCACACGTACCACCGATCACAACCTTTCTGCCGACTTCCCGGCAGTTAAAATATATACGCTTTAATTAGTACTCGAGGGTAGGTTATTAGGAAATGTCACGCCGAGCGTAAATAGATTGCACTCTACTCTTCGCTTCATATTTACAGAAATATATTCGTACATTAACGATCGAGTAATATCCAATTTACAAAAATTAATTCACAAACCCAGCACATGGAAAACGGTATTTTAATGCATACAACTCTCACAACTGTTGCAACTACTATATTAGCTAACGCTTTGTATTTTTAAGCTCTGAGTAACTCCTGCACACGTCTCCGATCACGTTACATGACGTAAAAAACTCACTTGCCCTACCAGGAACATTAACAAATTTAAGTCTGTACTCATTCCTCTATCAAAAGTGAAGTTTACGAAAAATTCTGCACATTTTGGACCATAGCCAATGACCTCCTGTAATGTTTAAAAAACGAAATATTCGTACTTCACATTTATCAGAACAAATCACAAAGAAGGCATGTTAAATCACTTTCCAAGGTAGACCTGCAAGGGCATAAGAATCTGAGCAATGCCTGTGCTAAACAAAAGCTTAAGTGCCTACAATCGAACTATATCCCCCAAAATAAAAATAAATGCCACCCTGGTAATTTCCTGCCACAACTGCATGAATAGAGGAAAGTTGCTTATTTTCGTGCAACATCTGTGGAGCTATGCCTGCATTAACACGTTAACGGTCATTGCACAACAAACACGAAACAGGCACAGTGCAGGGCCGTAACTCCCGTGGTAACGTCTCTAGCCTAAATAGTAACAAGTCAAGGCGAGGCGGACCAGGTCGAGAAAGTGACAAGAGAAGTAGAAAATAAATTTGATTTCCTATACAGTTAACTTAAGATTGCACCACAGATGCCAATGAAAAGATGTCCTAAGTGTCCTTGAAAAATGCCCTTGTTAACCAAGGACACCACACATATGCCACCACAATGTGTTACTGTAGAGCTACGAGGAATGCAGCCAGCACTAACGGACAAGGCTTCTTTGGTCCTGCCGTCCTGCTAATCCCACCGAGGCTCTTTAGGCTCTTGCTCTCGTCACCGGTATAGGCAGGCCGGTCAAGCGTACACCACTGTGAGGTGGTGTAAGCTAGGCACTATAGGGTTGCACTGACAAGACGTGATCATGATCGGATGGACAATGGTTTGCGCTGCTGATCAAACAAGCTCCAGCACCTTGATGGTTCCCTGACTGTTTGCTGCTACCATGACGTTTGAACCCTGAAAACACAGGCAAACATGTTACCTGGGGCAGGTTTGTGTACCGAGCTGCTAGCACGTTTAAGACTGAATTTTTAAACTGAAACTGACCTAATTTAGGGCTAACTGGCATAAGAATCGTAAGGTTTAACAGTTTGAGCTATATGAATAATGAATAATCAATGAATGAATGAATACTCAATGATACTGAATGAACCACTCAATGAATAATACTTGACCAAACAAAAGAACAAATGAAATGGCAACAAACGAACAAATGTATTGATAGCACATGTAATGCTTCCATATACCGTGTCCAATATGATCAAAACACATGTACGCAAGTACTATAGGCCAGCAAGTTCCGTAGTGCGCATGCAAGATTAGAACTCACTTTCAATGTCAAAAATATCGTAATATTGAGACGTACTTTCAGTTTGTTTTGTGACGTATTTTACACATCAAATATACGACAATTTTGCCACAATTTTTCAACATCAAATATATGCCAATTTTGCAACCTACTTTCTACGTATTTAATCACGCGTGCCACTGAACTCGCATATGCAGTTTTGTCCATATGAGCCACGGTATGCAATACCCAACCTAGTGATACAAGTGGTCCATTTTACATTTAATAACCACTCGACAAATGACAATATAAAGAAGAACAACAACAGCAACTTTACTCATCATACTCATCAACCCAATGAGTTTTTCCTGATAGTTTCTTTAAGACGATGCACTTCATTCTTCGATTACTTACACCACGCCAGCAGACTGCACTGACAAACTCGTTTGTATCCTCCTCCTTCTTGTCTTTCTCCAGGACACTGCGAACCGTGTCGAACTTGAAGGTGAGCAGATGCTTCGACAGACCCTTGTAGTAAACGTAGAGCGAATTGTTCTCGCTTCCTGTTGGAAGGAAAATCAATCCTATGTTAATCGGGCTATCAGGCGACCTCTCACGACATGGGGCACGAGCCTACAAGACTTCTATCTAATTATTCTCATGGTCCGCTCCCGAGTGAATAATGAAACGTGGCATATGTAAAGTTGATGTGTTCTAATCAAGAATAAAACTGTTTCCACGCTCAAATTCTGGGTATGAAGCAGTTATCTTCAGTTATACGCATCGTGAAAATGTCTCGTAAGGAAAACAACACAACAACTGTCACAGAAAGTGTCACCACAGTTTCGACAACTCCAAACGATTGCGACTGTCAATTCATGGCCACCTCTCTCTCTCTGGCTTAGAGACACAACTGACCTCAAAAATAACATCAAATGAAACGAAACTCAAATAAGCAATAGAATCCCAAGCTCACTGGTATCAACCCTGATCACAACGAAACCTAAGTAAGCCAGCATTTTCTATCATCTAATCATCACGCCATACAGAGCCGGCTGTACAAGGAGGACATGCAGTGCTTACCGCACGCTACGTAGTCGCCGTCCGACGATAGGCCGACAAAGTTCTTCTCGTTGGAATGGCCGCGGAACGTTCGCAGGCAGTTGCTCTTGCTGACGTTCCACAGCTTCAGCTGGCTGTCGGTCGACCTGCGATGAACAACGAACACGTCACCATCGCTCTCGCTACACGCAAGTCCAGCAGGTGGCAGCACACGTGCAGAGGGTGAACATCGGCGATTTAAATTTATGTAATTTTAAGTTCGGTGGAATACAGACCAGATACTCAACTGCATTTCACATTGTGTCGCATCCGGCTACCTTTCACAGTAACATGACAATATATGAATTAATGACTCATACTGTCATAATGCAATGCCACCAGCATCGCACCACCTGTCTAAAGAATGGACAATGTCACAATGGACTTCCTGGTCTGCCATCTAATATAGCTTTCAAGTGTGCACGTTTCAAAGGTCACTAACAAAACAAAACGTCAACGAATGTTACTCACGCTGACACGATTTCTTCAGAGTTGACGAACTTTGCGTAAGAGACGGCTTTCCGGTGCCCTTTGAATACACAGAGTGGCTGCTTGGTATTTCGCAAGTCGTAGTAGTGCACACAGTGATCTAACATAAATACAGAAAATAAATAATAAAATGATGAAAAATATCCAAAAAACACAAAAATGCCACAACTGTATTTCAGACCACAAGAAAATCCTTGAGTAAATCATAATTTATGTGAATAAGATTGCAGCAGCGTTTCAAGTGTTCATGTTTGATAACGATTGAACAGGATCTAGCGGATTTCTTACCTGCAGAGCCAAAAGCTAAATGGAAGCGACTGCTGGGGTTGAATTTCACACAACACACGTTGGCTTTCGCTTCTAAGCTTGTCACCGAATGCTCCATGTTCGTTGACCACAGCTTCACTGAACACATGGAGGAAAGACATTGTTACACACTATGAGGTAACGATTCTCCCCGTCATTGTTTTAGCCTAGTTCATTTAACTGCATAAATGTCCCAGAAGCCATAGCTCACTTACCCTTGGCGTCGTCGGATCCCGATGCAAGCAACTGAGGGTCCTGTCTGTTGAAATCCACACTCCAACATCGCTTTTCGTGCTCCTGAAATGCACACACATTCTTTCGTCATCGACGCTTGCAACGTGCAACGGGAGATTCTACGCAAACTCACGATACATGAACAGGAAGGAACATTATACACAAAATACGAACTTAGAAATAATCTTACATGAAACTACTCCTAGCAATGGCTGCAACACCACCATTGCCACTTATGATAATAATAATGATAACAACATCGTCATCGTCATCATCATCATCATCAACATCATCATCCTCATTATCATAAACATCCTATCAATTAATAAATGTCTGTATGATATTCCTAGAAATTCCAACCTGGAAAGACTTCACAGAACTGCCGATTGAGGCGTCCCATATTGTAACTGTGCCCTCGTAGTCACTGCTGGCAAGTGTGCTCTTGTAGTAGGGGCTCCAGCTCACACAACTGCAATAAACAGCAGAAACTCAGATATACGTAGCCGATGTCAACAAATGATAAGCACTATCAATAACCTATTACCAAAATGACTAGTGAATCGACAGATTCCAGCACAACCCTGCGCACTCAAGAGAAAGAACTACAGATAATGAATACGTAAAATAATGGAAAACTGTTTTCTTGCTATTATTTCTTTACTGCTCGTATGCATTATATGGTATGGTATATATTTTCCATGCTTGTATATTTGATAAACCAAAGGTGACAGTTTGGAGGAGATTAATGTAAAAATAATTAATAACGCCTGAATGCATTGGTAACCCCAAGCCAACTCAACTAATGCCTTACCTTATTTTCGAATTGCACAACATCTCTACAACTGGGTAGTGCATATCAACAACGTCACGTATAACAATGCCATACTCAAACACCTGAAATCAGAATGACATGCAACGTCTTATTACTTAACAAAGGGACATATTAGTGGTGAACACAGATGGTTATTGGATTGTTTAACAACTAAGCTAAACAAGTGCCGCCGTTTATAATTGGCCTTAATTAAAAACAGACGTTTGCGTAAGTGCTCTTGACATTGTATTCCCAACGTACAGAATCTCATATAGAGACATAGAACTTCATATATACTGTTGAAGCACACGGTAAACGGTCTGTTCAAGTAAGTTGATGACAGTGCCAGAATTTCAACTGTGAAATTCAGAGTCTGTCGCGAGTCCGACACAAGTGACCAATCAAACACAGTGGTCAGCCGTTGGTGTAAGCGAGTGCGAACAAGTTCAGTGTTAACCGCTCCTTTGAAGGTCAAGAAGGGTGTGAGGCGGACGAGCTTACTGTCGCACGCGGGGGGGTCGGCGAAAGGGGTACATTTAATGTGCCTTGCAATAAAGGGAGTGGAGTGAGAAAATGCTGTAGGTGCGGAGCGCTGAAACAAAAAGGAGGTTGTTTCACTCTGTCGCGATGTAGGCGCAGATGTGCCGTGCAGAAGAGAGTGTCTGGCATATTTGACCCTGGTCCTCGCAGGGGTGCCGTTCTACCTTTGACCATCCAATTTTGCGCTGGCGATGGGTTTCCTCCCCATCACACTACACATCGAATATTAAGAGCGTAGGTCAAGCCGTTGAGATTTGTGCCACAATTCCGTATTTCCTCCTATACCTTAAGTTAAGTTAAGTTAAGTTAAGGAAATATTCCCCCTCCATTGACACATCTTGACCTTTGACCCTTGACCCCCAAATTCGACATGCCGAATCCTTTTCGCGATCCCAACATGTTAAATGAAAAGCACCATGTATATAACCACAACTGCACAATATATTATTACAGTAAAGCACTATCGACTTTACTCACCTTGATCTTTTTTGTCACACCTGCTATGGCAAAGAAATCACAGTCCCTGTCAAACTCAATGCTAGAAAACACATAAAACAAGCAAAATCAGTCCTATTGTCGAAATGACAAACTTTCTCACATTCCAAGTTTTATAATGCTTTCCAGGATGCCTCGACTTATTTCAAGGATTCCTAACTGCTTTTTTTTACAAATATACCTGTAATATTGTTTATTCGCCAATCATCAAACAAATCTTCAGCGTGATTCAGGGATCGCACCACACCACACCACACGCACGCACGCACGCACGTACGCACGCACACACCTTGAGACAATACTCGACCCATTGTAGATGTCGTTGGCATAGCTGAGTGTCGCTAGAGGGCGCATGCTGCTGTATCGCGTAAACTTTGAAAGACTATCCGTAAACTCTTCTAAGCCTTCTGCTGAAGTCTGATCGCCTGCAATACAACAGCACTGCCTATATTAACAAATGAATTAAAGAAGAGACCACATCGATCGGTATCAATCCTAAAATTCATTTTTGTCGAATCACGTTAAAAAAATTTACGCTTTGGGACCTTTATTTCTCTCACATTTTGAAGTTACAATTACATAAACCACACTGCACGACTGCAGATTAGACACACGTGCACACGACGACGCAGACAAGCATGGCACCGACGCGACACGGCGGTTGTAGCAGTGCCCCCTACCTTGCTGGAACTCTTTTAGCCTCGTGCTGAGGTAACACTGCTCTAGATCCTCAAAGTGTTGAGCAACTCGCTGTCGCCGAGCTGCCATGGTGGAATTCAGCCAGTTATTCTTCTCGCCCTGCAACAAGAGAGATCAGATATGTCACGTTAATCGCCGAATCTCTTACAGGTTTTTATTGGGTTTTCCAGGAGGAGGGGTTGTAGACCTTCATGCCCAACAGAATTCAAAGTCTGCGGTTTGCACCCTCCCCTAAGCACAAGAAATCTTTCTTATTGAGTGCTCTCTGAAACTATTTTGGGTATTGTTTTGCATGAATTTTTCCAAATAATGAAAAGAATTGCCTAACATACTGAAAATTCATATACCCTATATCACAAAGAATTTTAGAATAGGATGAGTTAGGATCTGAACTGCATGTCTTCCCAACCACTACACTGTGAAAAAAAAGTCTTAGTTGCAATGCACGTTCGCGAGTCCAACGTTCGTAACTAAGGGGACTCCATGTACGGGGTCGCCCGCGACGTCCGAAACTTCTGCGAGCTAAAATGCAACGTGGCAACGCAGCCGACCGTCGTCGACTGTGAATGGCCGACACCGCTTGACGATCGGACGTCTCGCCACGGCGCCCGTTCGCCTCACCTTACTCGTGTTGAAGCCGTCCTCGACAAGACTAGAGGCTTGATCGCCGGCGACCGCGGAGGTGGTGGCCACCGATGCGACACCGCCGTTCACGACGATCGGCAACTCTCCCTGAAACGCAGACGATCGAGCCGCTCGCAGCTGGGTTTTCATACGCAGCAAGGAAGGATCACAAGGAAGGTTCTAAAGGATAGGTCTACCTACCTTCACGCATAGGTTCTAAAGGACTCGGCAGAGCATGTCTCTGTTATATTTACATCTCTGTTTTATTTTGAAATATATATGCTGATATGCGATATAATGCATAATATATATATATATATATATATATACAGGGTATGAAATTAGCCAAAATGTGAACAGGCCCAACCAACATTTTAAACAGGCCCTTAGACAAATTGAACAAGTCTTACAAGTTTGAACAGACCCTTAATTTCGTTCAATTTATTCCATTATTAATAAAAGTGGTAGCTTTGTGTTTATTAGGCATACTCGTAGTATTTAGTACTCATTAGTATTTCATTGCTATCGGTGGAGTTCTACTTCTTTGACACTAAGTAAAAAATAGTCAGGAAATTGGTAAATATTGTTGATATAAAGGCAAGATAGGCAAAATTTTGAATAGGCCAAGTGGACTGATTATATGGAGGATTGAACCGACGATTTAGGGAGTTGAACCAGCGGCCGCCGGCAAAATAGCACTAATTTCGCGCACTGTATATATATATATATATATATGAATATTGTTATATTATATTTGATGTTGAAACAATGGGATGGGAGTACCTACCATTGAGCAATCATGCAGCTGTCTATGTGTGGACAGAACCTCCTAGAATAGTAACAATCGTTGGTTTAGTTTAGGATTTTTCACTAATTTTTCAATCACTCCTTACAGTTTATGTGTATCGTGCTTTCACTCGTGAAGTTACTGTTTGGATAATCTGCCATTTAATAATAGAAGTGAAGGATAAAACACGACTCACCTCAACTTGCTTTGCATCATCATCTATCGTCCGTATTTCACGTTGTAACTGATCCAGTTGCTGTAATCATTCAATACTGATTTTCACACTTGCACACACGCATATATACCTATGCACATCTCGACGACGCAGAATTATTTTAACAGCGATAAAAAGGAAGTTCAGTAATACTGTGTGTTACAGAAGCAATTGGCGACCAGTGAGATGCATGTTTTGGTCGTCAAATCATCAATTTAGTGGCCAATGTGAACATTTTGATCGCTGTATAGAGCACTGCATATAGGATGCTATCCTCCAATTATATGATCAGGAGTGAATAAAAATAAGTTGTTTTTAATCACTCCTTATATGATGGATGTCAGTGGCAGAACACAGTTTACGAATTTTATGTTACAGACATTTTGTCTGAAACGTATTACTTTCATACTCAGTAGTGCAGCCATATTGGCATATACAATCAGTCTGTGCCTTCACAGTTCACTAATACTGCAGCGAGCAAAAAGTGGTTACAGATTAGTTAACTGGTGGTAAATTTGAAAGCAGACACATTATAACCCCACCTGTTGTTTGTGGCTGCGCACTTCCTGAAGGAACTCTTTCAGTAACTGATTCTGTGCCTCCTTGCAGTCCTGCAAAAAAATGACAATTTCTAACCTAATTTGTAGGGAACCCTGTGTCAGCAGACACTTCTAAAAGCAATTTTCGAAGCAATGCATGTGTGGCATTCACAGTCTCAGTTCCCCCTCTGATTCACTGATGTCCAGTTACCAAATGATGATGGCACACTCTATCTGATTTTAGAGGTGGCCTGCTGAAGAACATTTATAGTTACTGTTGTTATGCACCCTGCAATTCCCTACTTCTAGAGCTTTCAGCAGGCACAAGTGTCACGTGACCAAATGACGATGATGGTGACCATTACCGCGGTTACGCTTACCGCTTCTATCTGCTTTTTTTTCTGCGCTAGCACATCCAGCATGAAGTTGATGTCATGCAGTTCTAATGATTCACAGTCTTGTGAGAGAAATTCCTGCAGCTCTGACTTTGGGGGGCCATTCTAGAACAAGAAAAAAACTACATTACAATATTTTTTCTATCTATATGCATTACTGTAAACATCTATGACGTCGCACAAATGAAGATTTTACGCAAGTGGGTCGGTAGACGTACTCAAAGTTATCAGTTGAAATACACTGCGCACCTTGGATTCACATGCCTGGCATGAACTATCCACACAGCTATTAGAAGCATCGCATGAATTACATAACTTATAGACAATCGTGAACGGACCACCATGCACTTTATCACGTACAGCGATATCCAGCTTCAGCCTCTTTTCCTGTTGCTTTTGCTTCTCTTTCAGGATCAGTTCATTTACTGAAAGCAATCGTCCGATATTATTGCGACTTTTCTTAAAGAATAAACGAGAATGAGCAGTTTGTAACTTACATGAAAACATAAAGGCAAAACAAGTGTGAATCTAGCATCTAACCGAGCACAGCCAATGTCCATATACTATTTTTCTCAAAATTAACTAGTTGCAACAAAATCTAGTTACATACTATAGTACATCTACTCTAGAGCGGCTTTTTTGCTCATTTATTAGAATGATCTAAATCGCATATACTCTCCTATCATTTGTAAGGTGGCATAACGGTACAAGCTACAAAAGTGTGTTTTTACAGCAAGGGGTTTAAACTGCCTGGCACAAGAAGGATGCATGCCATTTTTTAGTCTATTTCATATATATCTAGCAATAAATGTTAATTTATATAAATACTGATATGGTACAGCAAGCAGTGGCAGACTTACATAGCACATTGGGAAAGATCTGATCAGATTTGTCCACGACAAAGTTGCATTTGGGACATCTGTTGTTTATGTCCAGAGCCTTAATTATACACTGATAGCTGTAACAAAAGAAAGCATACATTTATTAAAACGTCCAGGGCATATTTTACTATCTGTACTATAGTGTGCCACAACTTGCACCATCCCACACTTTTCGAAACAAAACCAAAAAACGAGCCACCACTAGTCAGTGCGCACACGTACGAGAAAGCACATGCTCACATGCATTTTCCATATATGCAGTTTTGTACATTGTTTATAATGCAGTATCAATATCGAGTAAAGGAAGTTCCTATCATCGTTATGCTTCCATGTTCCTGTTGATTTGGGCTGATTCACTCTAACAGCCCCCAGCCTACGTTCCTGTTTCCTCTCCCCACACTGAACTCACCTCCCTCCCATCCTCTCTATATATACAGATAAGTATCAGCATTAAACGGAAAACTTGAAAAATCTCTAGATGTGCATCAAACAACCGATAACATCACCGAGCAGAGATAAAAGCCCACAATAATTAAACCCCCATTTTCTTAAATAGGACATCACTTAGATATCGCTAATTAGGATTCTGTGTAATTAACATGGACAGCAGACAGGAGGCATCGCACGACCAGCGTGAGCGAATGCATCCGGAGCAGTTTGAACAACTTCCTCAATAGATGTGATAACAGCCACGCGAAACGTGCGACTTACCAGAAGCTGTGTCCACACTTCGTCATGTGTGCCTCCTCAATAATCTCAAAACATATCGGGCTGAAAGGAGAGATGAGTGTGCATGTCATCGTCGAATCGCGAGAAGAAACAACATTCTCTTACGTGACATTCTAAACTACACACTACATGCACTTTCTTATTGTGAACTCTAAAGTTATGAATGTGCTATAAGGTATAAAACTATAATTTAAAATATCAACATCAATTTCATACTGCCTGATTATATCATGTATTCTGGTTCTCAAAATTGTTGTGCAATTAACCTATCCATTCACTCATACCTCCATCCATCCAACCACTAAACCCTCAATTCATCCATCCACCCACCCATCCATCCATCCATACATCTATCTATCCATCCATTCGTCCATCAAGAACTCCACTCTATATCGGTGGTAACACACACGCATTACAAGCGGCAGGGGAAGCGAAAGCTTCCGCGGGATGTTCACATAACGCTCTCGAGATAAATCTTGTCCGGCGTGGTACAACACACAACGATCGATCGAAAGCAATAAAAACGAGCAGAAGTATTTAGGTCAGAAACCAAACAGTGCTGTTTTGGAATTCCGCAAACAAGAAAAAAGTGTGAATCATTTATATTGTGCTACACAGTACATGCAACTTGCAAGTCCCACCACCTGATCGTTTCTTTCATCATTGTTTTAAATTTATATCCCTACACATCTGAGCATATTACAGAGGGTAAACAAAATTAAAATGTAAAACTACTAAAAGCTTACATAAATAGTAGAAATACGTTGCAAGTAGTTATACCCCCACATAACATACCCACCACCCTAGTGATACGCCTGGTGATTTTTGAAGACACATCATTCCATTCTCTACCATTTAACCCTTCTAATTCTATGTTTTTCCTTCCTTTACTTATACGTACTCTGCCTTTTTGTCCGCCGTTACCTGCTTTGCATCCTCCACACTACCCACCCCTCTACCTCCCCTTCTCCTGCTTTCTACCTTTTCTGGCTCATCTATTACATCCACATTCTCCCTTTTTTACTGTCCACCCTCCTCTACTTCCTGAACCTTCTACTCCTAAGTACTATCTCTCTCCTCTAGCTCCTCGACTTTCTCCCTTTTCATCTACCCACTCAACACAATCTACTCGCTTCCCTTTCTATACCTTTCTCCCACATTTAATTTATCCCCTCTTCCCCTTCTCTGTCTGCTCCATAACATACCTCAGCATCCTCACATTTCTAACTATAGCATTGGCATTTAGTATATAGATTCTGCACTGAATTACTTCAGAGTGAGTGGGATGGTTGCATGGTTTCATAGCTTCATGAATAGTGTAGTCTTGGTTTGATGGAATAGGATTACCAATCAGAAAATGATTTACAGCAATCGAGCTAATCCTTTACAGGAATTTTCTCAGAAATTTCAGCAGTCATGTCATTTATGGACAGGTTGGGGACAGCTTGGGAGGGGGTTGTACCAATTGGATTCAATTACGTATGTCGTAAGCAGCCTAATACAAAGGTAAACTTGAGCAATTCGAAGACATGAAGCTGTTAAAACACAGAATCTGTTAAGGCCTGGGGAGACCCATGCTTTTATAGATACAGATATGGACATTTTCTACAATTGTTAGGGTTAGGGTTAGGGTAGGATTATCAATCATTAATCATTAATGATATCAAAGTTGGGAACACTCCTAATGGAGCGTTAGCCCTGCACTAGCCTGATTTTGCTCGCACGTCCGGGACTTTACAGCAATATTTTTTGGAAGGTCCGATGAAAGATTTGGAAGGTCCGAATATGTAACGTTTCTTGGGCTAATAGATCGTTTGGTAACAGTGGGTCCGTTTTTTGATACAAAACTAAACTTAAACAAACTCATGTTTGCCCTTGTTTGATACAACACATGGCTCGTCTGCAGGCATTACGAGTTACCCGCACGAGCAACGAGTTAGTTCCGGCATGCTGAAACTGCGAGCGCATCCACGTTAACTTCCGTTATAAAAAACCATGCTACTAACGTTGCAGCATGCGCTATCACTATCAGACAGTACGTGTAATTTCGATCCGATTTTCGGTAAATTTGACTTATACTTGGTATGTTTCATTGTGAATATTAAATAAGATACTATAGATGTCGACAGTGACCAAAAATCGGTCTACTTTAGCTTTAT